CAAAACAATTTTTTTCATCTGTACTGCACACATAGAAACTTTTCCCTTGTGACTGTTCCCTATTATATACAGTAAAACAATCATCATTTGTACTCCATTACAGATTATAAATAATCTAGAGATAATTTAAAGTATTTGGAAACTAGGTTGGGTGGCGTTTGCTTCTGATCCCAGTCATTAGAAGGCTGAGATACAAGCATCACATGGTAAGGTTAGCTTAAGCTAGAAAGCAAAGGCTCAGCTCAAAAACTTCCCCAAATAACAAAAAACTGTATATAGGAGATTGTGCACAGATCATCTGCCTAATACTATGGCATTTTGTCTAGAGGAGTGAACATCTGTAGTTATGGTAACATTTCCCCTCAGGTATGACAGAGAAGTGATTAAAATTGCAAGTTTTCTACAGCAAATGTTCTAAGAAAAGGGAGGCGAGAGGCTTAGAATCCAAAAGAAATCTGTCTAAAGTTTAGACAATTTCCCTCCCCAAAGCTAGGGAGGATATTAAAGCCATTTTGGCTACCATTTTGTAGGGTGCACTTATGAAAAGTGCATTCTACAATCTATTCTTCTTCTTATTTTATTTGGCTGGTCTTGGGCTTGAACTCGAGCCTGGGCACTGTCTCTTGAGTTTTTGTGCTGAAGACCAGTGCTCTACCATTTTGAGCCACAGCTCCATTTCTGGTTTTGTGGTAGTTAATTGGAGGTAAGAGTCTCACACACTTTCCTGCCTGGAGCTAGCTTTGAACCTTGATCCTCAGATCTCAGCCTCTTGAGTAGCTAGGATTACAGGCATGAGCTATCGGCACCTTGCCTATTATCCATTCTTGCTCCTTGAGAAGGATCTTAAACCAGGCTCATATAAACTTGGAAGTTACAGATCCGTATTTGGGCATGTTCTCGTAAATAGGCCCATTGAAATGAACACATAAATGTTTCCTTTTAATGCTGTCAGGCTAGAGTATCCCCATTGATTGATGCAATAAACATTTACGATGTGTCTAGTCTTTGTAAATGTCAGGCACTACCTCAGGTATGAACAAGATGGAAAATTTCCCTTAAAGAGACATCATGGCACCAAAGGAGATGGATGAATAGATGAAAATGTGATATAATGCAACAGTCTTTCAGAATATTAAATACAAGGTTACTTTCTGATTAACTTGCCTACCCAAGAGCTGAAATCATACCGGCACACAAAGGCTGGTACACAAATGTGCACAGAAGCATTACTGCAACCAATAGATGGAAACTACCCAGAATCCATCAATGGATAGTCACTAAACAAACCTAACAAGTCCTCTTATTCAATAACAGGAAGGAATGGGTTAATGTGTGTCACACCATCAATAAACCTTGAGAACATGCCAAGAACTAAGGAGCCAGACTCAGCGAGCTACACACTGTAAGATTCTGCTTGGAGGAAATATCAACAGTAGGAACAGACTATAGATGAATGATTGCATATGGTTTGTGGCATTGGGAAAACAGAGGACTCTCAGTGGGTACAAATCTTCTTACAGCAACAAATTTGTTCTCAAATTGATTGCATTGCCAGGCCTGGTAGCTCACATCTGTGACGCTAGCTACTTGAGAGGCTGAGATTAGGAGGTAATGTTTTGAGGCCAGCCTGGGCAAAGAATTCATAGGCCCCTCTCTCAACCAATAAAAAGCTCAGCATGGTGTTCAATGGCTGTCATCCTGTCATTCCAGGTACACAGAAATCATAAATAGAGGATAGTGGTCCAGGCTGGCCATGGTACAAATGGACAACTGCATTTGAAAAATGTCAAGGAAAAAGGGCTAGGTCTATGGCTAAAATGGTTTAGTGCCTGCCTAGCAAGTGCAAGGCCCTGAGTTTAAACCTCAGTACTGATAATATAATAATAATATAGTGACACTACTTTGTGAGGATACTAAAAACCATTGAATTGCCAATGCTGGTGGGTCATGCCTATAATCCTAGCTGCTTAGGAGGCTAAAATCTGAGGATCAAGGTTAGAAGCTAGCCCAGGCAGGAAAGTCTATGAGACAGGAAAGTCTGTGAGAGTCTTTCCAAGTAACCAGTAAAAAGCCAGACGTGAAGCCATGGCTCAGGTGGTAGAGTTCCAACCTTGAGTGAAAGAGCTCAGGGACAGTATCCAAGCCCCGAGTTCAAGTCCCAGTATAGGCACACACACACACACACATACACACATATATGTATATATATACCAATATATATATATATCAAAAAAGCCATTGAATTGCATGCTATAAATGAGTGAATTATATGGCATGTGAATTACATCTCAAAATGAGCTTATGAAAATGAATGCACAGGGCTGGGAAGGTGGCTCAGTGGTAGAGCACTTGCCTTGCATGCTCGAGACCCTGGGTTCAATTCCTCAGCACCATATAAGAAAAAAGCCGGAAGTGACGCTGTGGCTCAAGTGGTAGAGTGCTAGCCTTGAACTGAAGAGCTGAGGGGCAGCGCCCAGGCCCAGAGTTCAGGCCCCACGACCAGACCCCCCCCCAAAAAAAATGAATGCACAGAACTGGGAATGTGGCTTACTGGTAGAGTGCTTGCCTAGTATGTATGAAGCCCTGGGTTCGATTCCTCAGTACCACATACACAGAAAAAGCCAGAGGTGATGCTATGTCTCAAGTGCTCTAGTGCTAACCTTGAGCAAAAGCAGCTCAGGGATAGTGCTCAGGTCCTGAGTTCAAGCCCCAGGACTGGCAAAAAAAGAAAAAGAAAAAGGCAATACACACATATGTTACATGTATGCAGTCTCTTTGGAATGCTCACTAGGGGAATTAGGGGATGGGGTGAATCAGATGAGGTGAGGTCTGGGCTGGAACTCAGAGGACAAGTCTTCCCAAAACCCTGTTAGAGTAAAGGGCGTGGTCACAGGCTGGGAGCAGCAGGCCTTCCTGAGGAGCTGGAGGCAGGATGGTAGCTCTCAGTGCATGCGGGAATGTTGGGGCTGGAGGTAGAACAGTCCTGGGCACTGGGAGGATTTTGCCCATCCTCCCCGAGAGGCAGTATGGGGATGACAGTTGTCAACATTTGGCAAGCCACTTAGTTCTGAATCCCACTCTCCATCACCCAGATAGATGGGAGAATTAGAGCTACGGCCTCCTAAGTCCTCACAAAAGAGCCTGGCAGGCACTAAGCACTGACTGCATGTTTGCTGACATGACTCAGTAATGAACCATGGCTTGATGTCAAGCAGGGAGGTGACTGGCGTGTCGTGGAGGGTGAGGGGACCGAACTAGAGCAGTGACACTTAGGGAAATAGTGTCTGGGATAGGCAGGAGTCGTAGAAATGGAAAGGACGAACAACGTTTGAATAGAAATTTCAAAAGTGTTCGAAAGGGAGCCAGATGCTGATGGCTCACACCTGCTATCCTAGCTACTCAGGGGACTGAGATCTGAGGATTGTGGTTTGAAGCCAGCCTGGATGGGAAACTCCATGTGATTCTTATCTCCAATTAATCATCAAAAATCCAGAAGTAGAGCCATGCATGGCTCCAGTAGTGGAGTACCAGCTTTAAGCAAAAAAAGATAAGTGAATTCCAGTCCTAATACAGGCAAAATAAATGAATAAATAGAATCAATAGGACTAATGATGCCCAATGAACTAAGGGTGAGGAGATGCACATTTCACCATTTCAGATGTTTTCTGAGCTTCTCACGTAACTTGGATGGATAGGTGTTGATATTGTTCACTGAGCTAGAGCAACTGGAAGAGACAGCCCAAATGCCACGTGACTGGAAAAAAAAATCCTGTGTACAATACTTGTGAGATTTGAACCAGGTCTTCTGACGCCCCAGTCTTTACAAGGGTCATGGAGGTACTGTGGCTGGTGTGTGGGGTTAATGTCACCAGGAGGCCATGTCAGCAGCTCACCCAGCCATGCACATCCCAGGAGAAGGCAGCTGAAGGGAAATTCTTCAGTTGGTAAAATCTTGATGGAGTACCATATATTGTCAAAGGGACTGAGAGCTGATATCATTGGCTCCTACATTTCTAGGAGCTCATTTATCTCTACACAAAGATGTGCGATGGGTGTTTTTCCAAACAGGTGTGGTTAGCTGTGCTTCTTCTCGTATGCTTCGCCCTCCTCCATGTTCACGATCTTTCTCCTTTTTGTGTGCATGCGGGTCCTAGGGCTTGAATTCGGGACCTGGGTGCTGTCCCTAAGCTTTTTTGCTCAAGGCTAGTGCTCTACCACTTAAGCCACACCTTCACTTCCAGCTTTTTGGTGATGACTGGAAATAAGTCTCATGGACTTTCCGCCCCGGGCTGGCTTTGAATCATAATCCTCTTGAGTAGCTAGGACTGTAGGCATGAATCACTGGTGGCTGGCTTCTCCCTGTCTTTAGAGGATCTAGGACTCCCATCTATGATTTTCTTGGCATTGTTGCTCATTTGGAGACAATGTGTTGAGGGAGGAGGTCCACCTGTCTGTAGGTACCTCATCAGGAAGGGTGTCATAGACATTAGGGTTTCTTCCTGCCTGACCTTGGAATGAAAATGGCCCTTCATTGGTCTCTCTCCTCTCTGTCTTATATCCTTCAGCTTTGAGCACTAGTGTCATGATCCCCCCTGGAAGAGATGCAAGGAGCTCTTAGAAACCTGAGGTTGATCTCTGGAATCTTGACTCTTAGGCTGAGCCTTCTCAGCAGCACCTCCTTGGATGTAGAGTTTGGAAAGGATGCTTCAGCCCTGGTCTTGCCACCACGCCCCCCCCACCCCCCATCCGATTTGCAAGTTCCATTTCTTCAGACGTTTGCCAGGCGCCAAAAACATCTCTAGTGCTCTAGCCAGGAGCAGCCAATGGAAACCACAGCCAGGACCCCTCCCACTCTCCCCCAGTGGTATTCAGGCTTCCAGCCTCTCGCTTCCCTCCCTCTCCCTGCCTGGACTGCCTGACTCAGAAGCCAGGACCCTACAGGCGAGTGGCAGCATCAGCAGCCTCTGGGGTGCCTGGAAGGAGCCTTGGCCCCTACAAAGATGACTGGGAGACAGTTCCTTCTTCTGTCCTGCCTCTCAGCTATGGTGCTCCTATGCAGTAAGTATTGGGAGGGTTAAGGGGGGAGGACCACGTTAGCAACCCAGTAGGACTTACCTTGCCCAGGTGAGTTGCTCAGATGGTATAGATAGGAAGAAGTGTGCTTTTAAGATGGCTGTTCCTGGAATATGTGTGTGTGTGTGTATGTATGTATGTGTATGGAAGACACACAGGTTAACCCCACAGCAAACAGCAAAGGAAGAAAAATATAGGGAAAATCCAGCTTGAGAGGTGATCCTAGGGGGCCTGGCCTTGTAGTGAGTATGTGGTAGGCACAGGGTCTTGTATAAGGCCTAGAAAGCACAGCTGAGCCCTGGCTCAGGACCTGGCCCCCGCTGATGCTGCAGCCTCTCTGTGTCCTTGTCCCACAGTGCTGCGGGAGGGGACAGGAGCCACAGTGGGCAGCCGGCAGCCAGCAGGAGAAGAGACCCAGGAAGGTGAGTGCGGCCTGTGGATTCTGCTGCCTAGGCCCCTTGGCTCCAATGCAGGTTGTGACAGCACCCCCCCCCACTCCCCCCTTTTCGGGTTCCAGATTCGACACAGAAGATTTTCATGCAAGAATCAGATGCCTCGAACTTCCTCAGGAGGCGCAGCAGACGGTCCCCCAAATCCCGGGATGAGGTCAATGGTAAGGGAGCTGGGTGGCTTGTCTCCCTCCTCAGGAATGTGGGTCCTCTGGCACATGTGACCTGTGGTCACAGAAAGGATGAGTGTCGCGTGGCATGCACTTAAGATGGGGTGGGGAGGCGCTGGAAAGTGAGAAGCTTACAGAGGAAAATCTGTGAGGGCGTATAGCACATCAGGGTGTTTTTGGGGGTGGACTGGCACAGGGCCCCATCAAGCAGCAGTGTCGCATGCAGGGGACAAGCAGAGGGGACTGGAGGGCTGAGAGGTGTGGGCTTGGGGACAGCTCTGGACTAAGTGGCTTCAGCCACTTCCTGTCTGTGGTTCTGATTTCCTTATGGACAAGCCTCTTACAGAGCCGTGTGCACACTGAAGTAGCTCAAAGGTTTAAGTTCCAAAGCAGCTGGGTGACACTGTCTTTGGCACAGCCTGCTGCTGCCCTGTGGATACCCAGGATGCAGGACCTGAATCTCCTTGCCCTGTGGACCCTTGGAAGCATTTGCATTTCCTACCCTTGAATTTGAGTTTTCCAAGACTTGAGTTCAGACTTTCCTGGGCTCATCTCTGGTTTGATTCTTTCCTTGTGTGTGCGGATGAATGAGCTCTTTGTGTCCTGCACACGCTTGGCAAAGTAACTGGCTTGGGAAAAACAGAAGGACTGTTTTTCAAGTGACAGGGGAAATAGAGATGGAAAGGTCTGGAGATGTGATTTCCCGTTGCCCCCTAACCTTTTTTTTTTAAATTGGCTAAGCACACTAGGACATCTCCAGACCTCACACAGCTCAGAAGATTGAAAAATTGGCCAATGTCAGGAAATACCGAAAAGATAGAAGTTGAGTTGGTCTTGATTGTAATCAGAGACATAAGCTGTCAGTGGGCAGCTGTGGGAGAGAGTCTATGATTTTAGAGCAGGCCAGTATCTGCCTCCTTTGAAGCTGACTCAACACAATGAGGTCCCCAACTTGATTGAGAGCTCAGGTGTCAGGTGATCAGGGAGGCCCAGGAGAGCCTGGTGAACACTCACAGGTGCATATAAATAATGCATCTGAGGTCATCTGGCCAACTCCTGTGTGCAGATAAGACAACAGTGCCCTGCCAACATGATCTGAATTTGGAACCAGGATCAAGGGCTCTGACTCCTCTAAATTTCTCCAATAGAAATTGATACATTTAGGATCAAAACAAAGTACACATGTTCTCAAAAGGAAAGTACACCACAGGAAGGTGAGTCATTGTACAATAGCCCATCCCTGTCTCCAGAATTCATTCATTCTTGTTCTTGGCTAAACCAAAGGTGCCTTTTTTTTTGGTACCCTTAAAAGGCAACTTGGGAAGCTGGCTCCCACCCTGAGGGCACAGAAGGTGGAATGAGCAGTGGCTCATGAAACACCTGCTTACCTAAACTAAACCCTCCTTCCTCTGTGGAAGCTTTCTGGTATTTAGTGTGACACCAGAACCTGCAGTGACTCGAAAAGGGGGTTGCTTATGAATTTTCCCAGTTGCAGCACAGGTTAGAAGAACCTGGAGAATCAAGATGTTTAACTAAACCACAGCTCTCATAGGATTTTATCCTAGCAGCCATTGTGGTTATTGTTGTTGTTGTTGGCAATACTGGGGAATGAACCCAGGAGCTCCTGCAGGCTAGACAAGTGCTCTACCACTGAACCACACCCTCAGTCTGTTGAAACTTGTTTTCCTTTTAAAAATTATTACTAACTGTTATGCCAGTATTGAGGCTTGAACTCAGTCAGGGTCAAGGCACTTTCCCTTAGCTTTTCTTCCACTCAAGACTTGGCACACTGCTGTTTTACTACTTAAGCTACAGCTCTACTTCTGGCTTTTTAGTGGTTAATTGGAAGAGTTTCTCAGACTTGCTTTCCTGGGCTGGCTTTGAACGAAGATTCTCAAATCTCAGCCTCCTGAGAAGCTAGGATGACAAGCATGAGATAGCCCTTCCCAGGTTGAAATTTTGTTTTTCTATTTTTCTCCTTACCTGGATGACAGGCAGCCAAGTCCTCAGGAAATGACCTCGTCATCCCTAAGATGGTGGAGTGACAGTATCTTCTTACTCCCCTTTAAAAAAGATTTTTCTTATTATAAAGGTGATGTACAGAGGGGGTTACCATTTCATAAGCCAGGTAAAGAGTACATTTCTTTCTGTACATCACCCTTTCCTTTGCTGTCTCTCAGCTTCCTCTCCCATCCCTTATTTACCTTTTTATTTTAATTAATTAATTTATTCATTTTTGTTGGTCCTGGATCTTGAACTCGAAGCCTGGCACTGTCCCTGAGCATTTTTTGCTCAAGGTTAGGGATCTACCACCCTGAGCCCTAGTGCCACTTCCAGTTTTCTGGTGGTTCATTGTAGATAAGAGTTTCTGGACTTTCTTGCCCAAGCTGGCTTTGAACTGTGATCCTCAGATCTCAACCTATTGAGTAGCTAGGATTACAGATGTAAGCCACCAGTGCCTGGCTTTTCTTTGTCTTTTTAATCCCAGTGATCAGCCTATAATGGTCTGTGATAGATTTAAAAGGTGTAGATTGGACTTGTGTTGATCTGACTGTAAGTCCTTTAAGGAGTTCATTTTTGAGTTTCTGAGTGGCCTGGATGGCCTGGCTCACACCACAGATTTCGTAATGGGAGCCACTGTGCCATTGGGGCTTCTGTGACGTCATCTGCAGTGTGAGGCCACTGGATTGAATGGTCTCTCAGATGTGTCAATAGCAGGCAAGAAACATTTCAGTGACACCCCAGCCCCAAATCCTCACATTAGATTTAGCTTTGGCCAGGGGGAAGGGGAGGACAATTCTGACATTCTCTGAGATGTGTGACTTTTGTGCCCTTTTCTTAGAGGCAATTTCTTTCTTTCTTTCTTTCTTTCTTTCTTTCTTTCTTTCTTTCTTTCTTTCTTTCTTTTTTTCTTTCTCTTTTCAGTACTGAGGTTCAAGTTCAGTATCTTTTGCTAGGCAGGTGCTCTGCTATGGAGCCACACCCCTATTTTGCATTCATTATTTTTCAGATATAGGGTTTTGTGCTTTTTACCAGGAGGTGGCTTTGGACTCCAATCCTCCTCTGTATGCCTCCTGCATAGTTGGAATTACAGTTATCAAACACCAGACACAGATTATTATTTGAGATGGGGGGGGCACTAACTTTCTGAAAATTCTGGCTTCTGCCTATGATCCTCTTGTAGTTACACTTACAGAAATAAGCCTCTGTGCCCAGCTCTTGGGGGGGCAACACTTCAGTTTTGCTTCCTTTCTCAGCCGAAAACAGGCAGAAGCTGAGGGCTGATGAGCTGCGGAGAGAATATTATGAAGAACAAAGGAATGAATTTGAGAACTTTGTGGAGGAACAAAAGGATGGTAAGAACTCTCTCACCAGAGTCTTCAAGGAAGTGGAGCTCTGTGGGGAAATGGTGTGGGTTTCCTCCTTTCTTCCCCCTCCCTCCTTTTTTTGAGTGCCAGTCCTGGGGCTTGGATTCCGGATCTGGGCATGTTCCTGAGCTTTTTTCACTTAAGTCTGGTGCTCTACCACTTGAGCCACAGCTTTACTTAGGACTTTTTGTTGATTAATTGGAGATGAGAGTCTCACAGACTTTGAACCATGATCCTCAGATCTCAGCCTCAAGTAGCTAGGATTACAAGCATAAGCTATGGGCACAGGGGCTTCCCCCATTTCTTTTAACTGAAGGAGAGAAGAAGGGAAGATTTGCTTTTAATTCATGTCCATGGAAGTTTGAAAAGAAAGAAGGCCCCCACCATGGCTGGAGAGTGTGGAAGGTGGGGAAGAGGAGGCGGTGCTGACATTCCCGTTGGCTAGGGGACAGTGGAGATGATGATTGTTGGCTGATTGTGTGGACCTCTGGTGCCAGGCCAGTGGCAGCCAGATGGGTGACCTCAGCTTGCTGGGCTGATCCATGCTACAAGGCCTATGGGTTCCTGGCCCAGGCTCCTTCCAGCTCTGTTCTCTAGAACACTTGACACACTCGGCTTAGGTCTCCCCAGGAAGCATTGTGGGCCAATGCTTTGTGGGCTTGGCGGGTGAGTATCCTCAGGCTGGAGTCCTCTTGGTCCTGATAAGGACTTCGATTTTCCTCCCCAGAGCAGGAAGAGAGGAGCCGTGAAGCCGTGGAACAGTGGCGACAGTGGCACTATGACGGGCTGTACCCTTCCTATCTCTACAACCGCCACCACATCTGACCTCATCCTGCAGCACCCGAGGAGCATGGGTGGAAAGCACCCCAGGACCCCACGGGTCAGCTCCTCTCCTCACACAAACAGGGCCCTGGAGGGTCTCACCGTGGGGCCGGCTATGGTCTGCAGGGCCTGCCATCGTCTGTGCCTCAGGCCAACAGCATGGCCCGGTGGCTTTGTGTCCCTTGTTTAGTTATTGTTCCCCAGTTAGAACACCTGTCAGTTAAAAGGCCAATCAAATGAATCACAGTAAAGAGAAATGATTTTATGTTTGCTTATAGCTCACAAATAAAAATGCTGAATCCACCCCATGTATTTTCTTCTCATATCCGTACCGGAGCTGTGTGTCTTTGAATCTCCTGGAGTGACAGTGCTAATCTATGATAATGTGAGTGTTGGGGAGTTTTTCCTGGAGTCGGGCACCAGTGACTCATGCCTGTAATCCTGGCTATTTAGGAGGAGGCTGAGATCTGGGGAATCATGAATCAAAGCCAGACTGGGCAGCAAAGTCTGTATGGAGACTCTTGCTAGTTAACCACCAAAAAGCAGGAAGTTGGAGCTATGGCTCAAGTGGTAGAGCACCAGCCTTTGACTGCTTCACTCCATTCTCAGTCACTGTCACCGCATGGCTTCCTGCCCATGTGGTGTCTCTGCCATCTTTACCTTCCTTCCTTTGTCTCTTTTTTCTTTCTCCTCCTCCTCTTTTTTCTTCTTGCCAGTACTGGGGCTTGAATCTAGGACCTGGCACTGTCCCTTAGCTTTTTCACCCAAGACTGACATTCTACCACTTGAGCCACAGCTCCACTTCCAGCCATTTGGTGGTAATTGAAGGGTCTCATGGATTTTTCTTTGTTTTTTTTCCTCTGCCCAGGCTGACTTTGAATCATGATCTTCAGCCTTCTGAACAGCTAAGATTACAGGTAGGAGTTGCTGGCACCTGGCTGCTCTTGGGGACACAAGTTGTATTATGAATGAAGGCTATACCTGACTAACTGCTTCATTTTTGTTAGTTATATCTGCAAAGACCCTGTTTCTAAATGAGGTTACCCTCACATATGCTGGAGTTTAGGGCTTGTGTGTCTTTTGGGGGCATACAATCCCAGTGTTTGTTCCAGCCACACTGGCTCTAGTCCCAGACTCACTACCTGTTCTGCTTCAACCCTTGCTTCTAACTGACCTGGAGTTGAATAGAAGACGGATGAAATATCAAGACCACTCTAAGCAGGCTCCTCTCTGGGGTCAGAAGAGAGAAAGAACTACATGAAAGCCTTCTCTTCTCACTTTGCTCCTGTCCCTCTCTTGGCCCAATGGGCTTCCCTCATGTATGGGGCCCCTGGCTGCCTGCACCTGCCTGCCTCCAGACCCCACAATACCACAATATTGACATCCTGAATACTATTCCCTCCCTGTCCCACCCACCCCCAAGCTGGTGCTGGGGCTTGAAGTCAGGACCTAGCCTTCTTGCTTAGTCTTTTCACTCAATGTTGGTGTTCTACCACTTAAGCTATACCTCCACTTCTGGCTTTTTGCTGATTAATTTGGAAGTAAGAGTCTCAGAGATTTGTCTGCCCCTGTTAGCTTTGAACCTCAATGTTCACATCTCAGCTGCTGGAGAAGCTAGGATTACCGATGGTCTGAATACTGTTTACTTATGGTTGACTGTAGATCCATGGATGTAGAAAGTGTATGTATGAAGGCCATCTGCACTTTTATTCCATGCTCAAAAAAAAAAGGCCAAGCACTTCTAACTGCAGCTGGAAGGCAAGAGCGGCAGTCTGTTAGTATCAGTAAATATAAGGTACCTTCATGCTTGCTGGTGAGTGGCTGTCCCCTATGCTAGTGAACAGGGGGATGGTAGCAGATTCTGACCACATGACCACCTGCTTGTTGTGTCTGCAGGAAAATGCTGGAGCCATTCGGATGTCAAAAACTGAGATGAGATTGGGAGAATGGCCAAAAAAACTCAGCCTGTCTTTGCCTGTTCAATGATCACATTTGGCATGCTGGCTCTAGATAAAGAATTCTGGCAGAAAAGGGTTGAATAAGAATTCTATTACCCAGTTCACCCTTACCCTTAACAAAGGCTCCATTCTATTTCAGGATTTTCCAATTCGGCCTAGAATTCTTCCAGTGGAAGCCAAGTCCAGATATTTCCTTGGAGGGGGGAAAGGAAGGCAAAGGTAACGTGACTGGGGATGGTAGCAGTCACATTCAATGGGAAATTAGTACTAGAGCAATTTGTACTTTTGAACGTAAAAAATGGGACCTTTGGGACATTCTTTTGCTTAATTCTTTTCTGTTCATCATTCCTATCTTCTCAAAAGGTTCCAGGTCAGTGGTTGAAAACAAATTTGTCAAAGGACAATTTTGTCACCCACTTTTTTTGGTTGTTGTGGAGCTTGAACTCTGGGTTTGGGTGCAGTCTCTGAGCTCTTCAGCTCAAGGCTAGCGCTAACCACTTCCAGCCTTTTCTGTTTTTGTGGTACTAAGGAATCGAACCCAGGGCTTCATGCGTGCTAGGCCAACATTCTGCTACTAAACCACATTCCCAGGCCTTGTCATTCATTTTTATCCACTAGTTTTGTGTATGTTGGCATTTAACTCCCCCTTCCCTGGGATTGAACCCAGGGACCTGCATTTGCTAAGCATGTGCCCCACTACTTAAGCTACATCCGGTCTTCTGGGGGTGGTGGTGGAATGTATGTATACCAGTGATGCATATACTTGTTAGCCTGCTCAAAACCCTAGGTTCAATCTCTATCACCAAATAAATAGAAAAATGAAATAATCTTCTATGTGCTCCAGGGGAGATATTGACTTCTTGCTATGTGCCTTTGCTTAAATTTTTTGTTTTGGGGGGGTGATCATTTTCATGAGTTCCAGAATGAATTTTACAATTTTCTGTAAACTTATGTACTTTAACAAAAATTGGTTATGAATATTCTAATTCACTATTGATAATGATATCTGATTTATTCATTCATTTGGCTAGCTCTCTTTATGTAGCCCAGGCTGACCTTGGGACATGCATATCTGGCTTAAAATCTACTTGTGGCTAGATGAATACTTTTATGCCATGCTCTATTTTAGCCAATAAAAACCTTCGATATATACACACATATATATTATCTATTTAATGGTGTTTTTTCGTCAGTAGTAGGGGCTTGAACTCATGGCCTGGTACTCTACCACTATAGGTCACATTTCCACTTCCAGTTTTTTGGTGGCTAACTGGAGATAAGTCTTACAAGCTGGGTGCTTGTGGCTCACACTTGTAATCCTAGCTACTTAGGAGGCTGAGATCTGAGGATTGCAGTTTGAGGCCAGACCAGGCAGGAAAGTCGATTAAGTGTCTCCAGTAAGCTACTCAGAAAATCCAGAAGTGGTGCTGTAGCTTAAGTGGTAGAGCACTAGCTTTGAGCAGAAGTTTAGATGTGCCCCAGCTAGCTTTGAACCATGATCCTCACGTCTCAGTCTCCTGAATAGCTATGATTATAGCTGAATAGTGCCCAGTTTATGCCATATTTTTAAAAAGCTGTACAACTAATTTATATGAGTAGTTTCATAAAATTTTCCTTGCTTTTAGTTAACAAAACCTTTTGATATAATGTATATAAAATTTTGTGTGTATGTGCCAGTATTGGGGCTTGAACTCCAAGGCCTGCAAGTGCTGCTACTTAGCTTTATTCACTCAGGATAGGCACTCTACCACTGTGTCATACCTCTACTTCCAGCTTTTTGGTGGCTAACTGGAGATAGAAGTCTTCTGAACTTTTCTGCCTGGGCTGCCTCAGAATTGAGAGCCTCCTGAGTAGCTAGGATTACAGGGGTGAGCCACTGGCACCAGGCAGGTGCTTTTCTTTAGATCAGAGTATTTCACCATGATGGCTCTGATGGACTGTGCTGCCACAATGTTACCAAGGACAGATGAAGAAAATGAAACATGTAGGCTAGATTTGCATGAAAACATTTAATGCATGCTGATGAAGGAATTAAAAAATAGGATTAAAAGGGCGATCTTTGTTAAATAACTCAATGGCCCACAATTTCTCCCAGCCTGCTGCATCCACTCTCATCCCTGAATATTCTAAACAATCACAGGTACAAAAGCATCTCAACGAAGGCTCCCCAAGATTCAGTGAAACTGCCAAGTGACTCCACGATATTTTAAAATCTTATTCTAAGAAGAAAGGCACCCATTTGGCCTACCATCACACATTAGAAGCACATTTTATACCTTTATAGATACACACACACACATGCGCTCGTGCGCGTGCACACACACGTGGACACAAGTGATGTATTCAAAGGAGATTATATTTATTTTCCATATAAGGAGATCACTCAATCAAAAAATAACTTTCATGTTCTCTGTAGTTATGGCCTACTTTGTAATACATTGCTCTGTTTTAAGTTTATGGGACAAATGAGGCACTAAAAAGATCAGTTCTGGGTTCAGGACATGGCTCAAAGTGGTAGTGCACCTGCCTAAAAAAGCATGAGGTTTTGAGTTCAATCTCTAGTACCATGGATTGGGGGAGGTGGGGGGGAGAATCTCAGAGTTCCAAGTGCTTTTTGCTTCTTATTAATAACTAAACTATTCTTTGCTAGTCAAATTAAGAAATGACAATAAAAACCTGGGAAACAAAATATTCTTAAGAGCAATTTAAGCTAAAGATGTAACCTTAGGGGAAATTTAGTGATGATCCTGCATTTTTGATGTCTATGCATGTGAATTTTATTCCTGGCTCTTGAAACTACCCAAGTCAGCCATATTCCATAGTTACCTCCCACACACTTAAGTTCCTAACAGTTCCATCTTGGAGAAAAAAAAAAAATCAAAGCCATTTCTAGCTAGAGTTCAAGTTCTAATGTAATAACCATGCCAAGTCATTGAACCTTTAGACGAGTCCAGATTCCACTTGGGTCCAATGACAGAGAAGTATGCTGCCCAGGGAGAGGACTCTCCTATATTACTGTAGAGGAACAAAAAGAACATTTGCAGTACTTGAGAGCTGAGAAAT